TATTTATTTGGGACATAACATTCATTATAGACTAGCCTTTTCCAAGGCCAAAAATAAAATTTATTTTCTATTTAAAAATGATATTAATATGAAATTTCAGTTTCATAGTAGATTTAATAAAAAAAAATTTGAATAAAAAGTACTAATCAAAATAAATTTAAGGGTATTTTGGTAATTTTTATTTAAAATATTTTTAATTTTAGTTCTCTTTATAAAAATAAACTTACATCTTAAAATTTGGATAAATATTTTATTAAATAAAAATAAAAATATGAAACCAATTTTTTAGCTGTTAGATATGGCCTTATGAAATTTCAACCATTGGAAGGGTACAGGTGCACCCTTCCCGCCGTCCACACTTGTTTCAAAAAAAACAAAAAGTTCATATAGAGGGTGTGATTTGTGTAAGTTTCGACCTAAAAAAATTTAATTAAGGTGCACCACCAAAGCTCATCGAAACATGTAATTTTGGTGTTGAAAATTCAAAGATGACCTGAAAAACTACTTCACATCTAATTATGAAATTTCAAACTAAAAAAATATACAAGAGCAATGATCCAACACAGCAGTTGTATAATAGTATAATACAACGACGCTTCTAGAAACCATGTTTGTGGTATTTGTATGACCTCAAATTCTGCACACACACTCTCTTCATCTCAATAATCAATCCCCCTAAAAAAAATTTCAATTTGAGCCCTAGATATGGTAAAAAAATGAGTCTCACTCCAAAAACGAATCTAGGCCATTCATTTTGTGAATTTCAAGATCTTAGCCTTTATAAATTCAAAATTATTTTTTTATTTTTTAACATTATTCTTGATAATAAAGCCATTCAAAAAAATTAAAAATGAAAAAATCCTTCTAAGGCCTAGATCTAAGCATCTCACCAAAATGAACGGTCGATGTTAATTGGGCTAAAAAATACTTTTTAGGTTGTGTTTTCCATTTTTTCCTTTTTTTTTTGTGATTGTTCATTAGAATGAAAAAATTGTATATTTCAAATTTTGGATCAAACAAATGGTCATAAAATAATTTTTTAAAATTATTGCATCATATTACTATACAACGGTTGCATGAAATCATTGCTCAATATACAAATGGAGCATATCTATGAACACAAGAAAATATTGAGAATGTATAATCTAGAAAATGTATGACAATATGTATTATCTTTAGTACTTTAACATTTTTCTTTCTTCATATACATACAACTCGATGATGAATTGGAGGGTATTTTACCATCAAAATAAGTTTTTGCGATGGATTTTTGAGGCTCGCCTTTCTTTCTACAGTGTAGGATTGCACACCTTATATAAACTTTGTTCTTATATAGAAGGTAATCTGTGAATAATATAGAATACGGGTATCTCGTAACAAAGTGTATAGAACGCAAATAGAATAGATGATAGACAGGCCTCCACACTACACCCATAAGCACCCTGGAGGAGGATTTACTATTGAAAAGGGAGAGCAGTGGAGCATTGGCCCTTATAAAAAGAGCAAATTCACACCTCAAATCCTATCCGAAATAGTAATTTGAAATTACTATTTGGTATTGAAAAACCCTCAAATGAATCATATCAACAATTATAAATCAAAAATAAAAATTTTCAAAAGCCTTAGACTATTTAACTTTGTTTCGAAGAGGTTACAATTGCTATTGATTATTAGATGTCAAATTTGATAGCTTAGGGTGGAGGATGAAGTTTACAAAAAAATTATTTGAACTTTGAGTACCTTATTTGAATTATGATTGACAAAAGTAATTGTGACCCTATTGTATTAAAAGTAAATGGTCTTTATGTAAATAAAATACATCTTAGAACATTATATTGAATTATCTATCTTCAAGTGTTGATTTGATGATGATCATCATCATCATCATTTTAGCCTTTTTCCAATTAATTGGTGTTGGCTATATGAATCCTGGTTATCCATTGTTCTATTAAAAATCATATCCTCAGTGAGGTAAAAAATTCTCATATCTTTTCAGATTACTGCCAACAATTTCATTTTGGGTCAACCATTTGCTCAAAACACGTAGCTTCTGGGAACACCTTAGCATAAACAGATACTATAGATTTATTATGATTCATAATGAATTTTGACAAAATTTTACATTGGCTGCCTATCTAATATATAAGGTGCAGTTTGCATACGGATGCATCTGTAGGTGTAGAGGTAAGGTGCACCTTCACATTTTATCATGGTATATAATTTTGATGTAAAATGTTCTTCAGATTACCTCAAAATCTATTGTTATATCTAATTATAAAATTTTAAATTTAAAAAATAGTTCAAATCAAGTAGATATATAAACATATGAAAACCTTGAAAATGGATGGTGTAGATAATATGTTGTAAAATGCACTATTTCCGAGACTTAAAATCTTTTTATTTTTTATGGTCATACATCTCGATGTTGAGATGATCAATCAAATGGTTTTTCAACATAAAAACTACCTTTTCTCATGGAGTTTTTAGGGCACCCGTAGTTCTACATTATAAAGTAGCATCTTTAAAAAAACAACATTTTCCGCTAATATAACCATGCCTTTTTACCTGGGCATAAGATGGATCATCACCTAATAAAAAAGATATGATGATTATAGTGATGATAAATTTATTTTAATTTTTTTTTTCCCATATCTAGCTGATTGGCCGAATCTTGATAACAATGGGTCGGCTCCCGTATTCAAAATAGGGAAAGCTTTCTATGTTTCCCCTGCACCATAAAAGTTCTATATTCCCCCTACCATCCAACCGCCCATTTTTTTATCAAGAGAGCCACTCATCGTTTGATCTTAGATCCGACGTCCCAAAGTATTTTATTTTTAATTTTTTAATACAAATTTTTTGAATATGAAATTTGGCACATGTCATCTTCTTATTTGGGCGCACCTATAAAAAATATTAACAATAATTTTTCGATAAAAAATAATGATCAAAATACCCCTTGAAACTTTCAAGGATATTGATCATTTTATTTTATTGAAAATATTTTTTTTATATTTTTCGTTAGTGTGAGTTTAATAGAGGAATGGACGTCCAAAAGTTGGTATCAAAACAACTTATAAAAAAAAATTTAAAAATAAAACAGTATAGAGACGTGATATTGTGATTGGGGCAATCTTAGCCCTCCATTCAAAAAATTGACGGTTGGATAAGGGGAGCATAGAACTTCTATGGTATAGGAGGAATATAGAAAGCTTTCCCTTCAAAATATACAAGATTTGAAAACTTTTCCTTGGATCATCTCGAGCTTTTGATTTTTGGAAAAATATCTCATTAACCTCTATTTTGAACTTCTATATCTCATGAGGTTCAAGAATTGAAAATATTACCGGTAAGCAAAATGTCTCCATCTTTTCTATCTTACAACTCTCTGGGATTCTTTTGACCATAAGCTTTTGATCGAAACAAACATTAAAAGGACATTCTATTCAAACTCTATTTCTCTCTAAAACTCTATCTCTCTCTCTTCGCTTCTCGTTGAGTTTATTACCATAAGTTTTTGATCAAAACAAATATTAAAATGACATTCTATTCAAACTCTATTTCTCTCTAAAACTCTATCTCTCTCTCTTCGCTTCTCGTTGAGTTTATTAGTTAAGGGGTTTAGCTTGGGCTCGAACATGAGCACACTTTCTTATGTGTATGAAAAAAATGAAGTTTTAGAAAAAAAATAGAAGTTTTAAGTTATAGAGAGAGAAAGATGGAGTTTGAATTTTAGAACGAGAGAGAGAGAGTTTTATGCCTTATTTATTCGGGAGTAAAAGAAATCGGGGGTACGTTTTTTTTTGAAGTAACCATGGTCCACAATATTTGAGTAATGGCAACGTGGCCTTGTCTTGGTGCTCCGCTTTGACAGAAGCTTTAATAGCTGGCATCCACGACTTTCTTGTCTTTTTTTTCTAAATTAATATAAATAAAGATGCCACATTATAGAAGAAAGCAACCACTACGTAGTATCTACGAAAGCTATAATAAATTAGAGCTAAAAGAAGCCAAAAACTAATAATTGGGAACTTTGAAAATAGCACCAAGATTCAAGTAAAGGACAATAATGGTGTGCCGACAAAATCGTCCATTGAGCAATTCCCAAACATCGTGCAATCCCATAAATAAATTCAAGCACTTAGATTTTTTAATGGGTGCGGTTTGTATCAAGCCTAGGCTCTAAACAATCAAATTAAAGCCTACCTCCAAATAGCATCTGGAAATGTGGTTTCAATATTGGAAATCTTTGTGATAACTTTAAAATATATTTTCATATTTATTTATGAAGTTCAAAGCTTCAAAAATAGTATAGATCGTAGTATCTATGATATCTTAAAAATTGTACGTTACAAAATACACTATTTTTAAAACTTACGATCCATTTTTTTCTTATGTTCATGCACCTTAATGTTGAAATGATCAATTTGAAGACATTTGAGCATCAAAACAACATCTTCTAATAAAATATTTGAGGTAGGTTCAAATTTGATTGTTTGGAGTCTCGACTCTATATAAAATTTTTGCCTTTTTTTTATTTATGTATTAGTATATGAATCATTTTAGGATCTTAAATTTTGCGAGTATAACTCTTCAATTATAGAAGTATTTTTTTTTGTTTTCAAATTGAGCTTTCTATGTATTAAAAAAATAATATCCGAGGATTAAAAAATCATTATATTTCTTAAAAGTGAGATCTAAGTGTGAAAAAAATCAAAATTTAATTTTTATAAAATAATCATTTTTTGTTTTTAAGTAGTTATCAAAATTTCAAACCAAAAAAAAAAAAAATTCCAATAGTTAGAGAATAAATAGACAACATGCTCTTGCATAGTATAGTAAATATGCTTTTTAAATATTGAATATAATGATAATATTTATCTTTTCGTACAATATGACCACAATTACATACAACCATTCTAAGTAAAATATAAAAGCTTAGATGTGTCACAAAGTTTAAAATGAAGTTGAAACTACTAAAATAAATGGAGCCACACAATTCCATATCTAATAGTCAATATCTAATAGTCAAGATTAAATGTGACCACTTTGTACAAAGATAAATCATCTCCATCCATACTTTTTTCATTTAAATTAGCAAGAATGAGGGATGAATTGAATTGATAACCACTAAATTTGAAAATAACTTTCAATAAAGTAATAATTTGATAACAACTTTCAATAAAATGAAGGACGGCTAAAAGTAAAAGGTTAATTTCGTGAAGGCCACGCCATGTTTTTATATAGGGATAACAAGAAGCCAACTGTTAGGCCAGATGGGGTAGTGTGAAATTTGATGCTTCTATTTCTCAGAGAGAGGGAGAGGGAGAGAGAGATAGGAAAGAAATGGGTAGGGTGCTATCTGATGCTGCTGGTCCTTAGACAGAGAGAGAAGCTGAGTTTTTGAACGAGTGTGAGAGATTTCATTGGGGTAAGGTGAAATTTAATGCTGTCACTTTAGATAGAGCGAAAGGGTGTCGATGATTCTGTGAAAGAAGGATTAGCTTTCTAACTCTTATATTCACGTTGTTCATGTTTTTTTTGCAGGTTCCAGTCTTTCTCAACCGTAGTTATAGAGGATGGCTCGTCATAATCTCTCGGTTGTGTGCTCAGATGTGCCTATCGGCAGAAATGAATTAGAGAAAAAGGAACAACTTGAACATGGAAGTGAGATCATATACGTGGGAGAGAATTATGGGGCTGAATTCTTCTCACAATTGGGCATCTTCTTGATTGATGCAATACAGTCTTGAGGAGGCCGATGATAAAGTTCCTTTATGTTTTAGAGGACAGGATAGTGGTGGATAGAGATAATATGGTGGTTTACCCCTTGCGATCATGAAATACTGATTCTTTATGAGGGTATGGAGATATAACTCATGCTTCTTGTATTGCTCTATACCTTTAAAAGATAAAATATGTGGTTGATAAGGTGAGCTAATGCGAACGTATGCCCCTTGCGACACGAAGGTTTGCCCTTTGCGATAGGTTTGCCCCTTGCAATACGAGGCTTTGCCTTTGCAACGACCTTCAAACGTATGAAAATATATAATTTGATGTATTGCTTCTTGTAGTGCTCTATTGTCTAAAAACTATGAAAGATAAAATTTATTGCTTCTTGTATGCTTTATTTATGTGATTCATGTAAAAGTTTTTTTTTTTTTCACATTTGATAATGAAATGTACTGAAAAATGTTGTACATTAGTGCACATATATCAGCATCGGACTAAATCACTTAGGCTTGACCAGTAAGATCACAAATTGGTCCCTTAAATGGTAAGTCAAGCGAAAATTGGTTTTAATCGAAAATAAACTATTAATTTTGGTTGGATTGTTTAATTAGTTTTGATTGAAAAATTGTTAAACAGAGCAGTATTTTTTTTTAAGAGTAATAATTTTATAAGACCCTCTTCCATGTATGTGTGTAGGATCTCAAATGATCATTATTAAAATTGGTACGGATTTATAAAAAAATTATCACGGGTGTGACATGTTAAATTTAATGATACACATGGACGAAAAAGGGTCCTAAAAAGGTATTTTTTTTAATACATTCTATCTTTAAATTTTTGTATTTTATTTTCTTTTAAAAATTTACTCCAAGCAATTCAATGTTTGGCATTTTCATCGACGCTACCGGAGTTTGAATTCTCCAAATTTTTGTTTTCTTCTAATTATTATTATTTGGTGATGTATGGCTAGGTGTTTTACGAAATGAGCTTAATCTTTGTGAACCGTCGATTAGGGTTTCTTAGGCTTTTTAAAGAATTGGGGTTTTTGAAATAAGATGAAGATTAAACCTTTTGTTTTGTTAAATCCCAATTGGAAACTAAGAATTCACCGTCCCTGTTTTAGAGCGGAAACTCCAACTCAATTATTCCTTTTTCATGTGGGGTTTCCGTTGCAGTTGCTTTGACAAGAGAGAGAATTCGAGCGAAAAGACGAGGACAAAAGCAAGGCTCTTTTGAAAAAGTTGTTCCTCCATGGAAAAGGCAACACGTTTCAACTTTAACAATTATTGATTATAGATACCAAAAAGAAAGGAAAAATGATAACACAAAAGTTTTATGGAAAAACGTAAGGAGAATTGTTTTATGCGGGCTCTCCAATTTTTTTTTAATAAAATTATTATTTTTAGTTTGTAAAATTTATTCATTTTTTCATATTCATGGTTTCAATGTTAGAGATAATGTATTTTTAAAAATTAAGTCTAAAAATCCATCTCAAAATTAGATTTATTAAGATACCTGTATTTCTCCATGTACAGGCTTGGCCGCATGCTAACTGCATTAAAAAAAAAAAAAAGGTAAAACCTCACCTGAAAGCCCCATGGTTCCAGGTTGGAAAACTTCAAGTCATCGTCTCGCTATTGATCAACTATAGTTGTGAAAAAAATTAGGATTTCATCCCTTAAAATGTAGTCCTTATTGATCAATTATAGTTGTGAAAAAAATTAAGATTTCATACCATAAAATATAGTCCTCATTGATCAATTATAGTTGTGAAAAAAATTAGGATCTCATACCTTAAAATATAGTCCTATTGAATGAGGTTTCCTTACTCTCACAATATGTGAGTGCTTATAGTATGCTCCTGCAGTGGCAATACTATGCAGTCACGCCCTCTAGCAAAATAGCTACTAGTGAATTTTTTTTTGAGTCCATGTTTGGGATTCATCTGAGCACTAGATGATTATTATCAAATAAAATTATTTGGAATTTTACTTCTAGTAGATCTTGATCTTTCACTCCAAATATTGGATAGTTCCTCTACAATCTTGAGATGTCATTTTTTTGTAGACATCTAGAGATTGGGATCTTTTTATTTTTTTCTTGTTTTTTCTTATTTGTTCCTTAGGTTCTAAAAGATTGCATCCCCAAAAAATTGGTAACTAAAAGATATTGCTAGGATTAGTTTTGACCAAGGGAGTAGATGGATAGTATACTCTCGCGGGAGTATGAAATCTTTGGCATAAGACATATAGGACAAATATGAATTCTCAATTTTTTCGACATCCTTAATTTTCGCTTTTAAGCAAGAACCTTAGGTATTGGTGTCTTTATTTTTATTTAATTGATCATTGTTATTTTAGTACACAAAAATGTAGAGAACTGATGAACTCAACATATACAAAATTTTACACTTCTCTTATTCGGATTCTATAAGAAAAACAGAGAATAGATCAACCGAAGAAAAATAAAACAAAATTGGAAAATAAAACAAAATTGGAAAGTAAAAAAATGGTCATCAAACTAGAGTTTAGTAAGCAACAAGAAGTTCTTCGAGGACTCGTTCCCTAGCCAAGGAATCTGCTCACTATCCTTCCCTATGATTGTGAGCTAAATGCACCTTCATTTGAGCAAGCGGTCCTAAAGTTCATTGAGAGTATTTCTCAATGTGGGGCAAAACCTTTGATCCACTCCGATTCATGTTTTAAGAACGGCCCCTTTTTTAGAGATCTCTCTAAACAAAGCGCTCCAAAACTTTGATGGGCCGGTTTGTCGGACCGTCAACTAGTGTTTTGGCCATTCTAGTCCGCAGTAAAATCGAGTTTGATTGAAAAATGATCAAAATTAATGTTTGATTGGTTTTTAACGAGGGGTAAAAATCGAGTTTGATTGAAAAATAATCAAAATTAATGTTTGACTGGTTTTTAACGAGTAGAATCAACTGTCTTTGAACGGTCAGATCAGTTAATGAAGGTAGGCATTTATTTTTTTAATATTTTTATATTCTTGAAACACTATTCCCATTTTTTTCATTTTTCTAAAAGTGCCGAGTTTGAACTTGTCCCTTCGGTTTAGGTGGTTTGCCTTTCTGCTGTAGAACGGATAAGGGCCTGAGTGGCATGCATCTTAGGTTCCAATTTGGTGGCGAATTATGATCTTCTTGTAGAAGAAACAATGTTGGCTCTCCATTTTAATCATGAATGCATCAAGAAGATTCTCAGCATCATATGCCATCTATCTTCCTTGCTCCCCAAAGCTATCTGCACTTTCTTGTTTGTGTCCTCCATGAAGACAAACATGGTTTTAAGCTTATCTAAGAGCCTAACAATATGGTCATGTGCTACAGAGAGTAGTCATACTTCTTGTGTTAGTACCAGTGCTATTCTTGATCCAAATCATCGATTCGGATGTGTAAATGATCAGGATTTAACCTGTTCTGGGTTGGTAGGTCCCAATCCAGATTCTCTTTGAAATCCCCTTTTTCATTTTTTTTTCTCTTTTTTCTTTAAGCTTATCAAATGTTATATTTGATCCCCGCTAAATTCCCACCCCATAAATATCTTTATATTTATATTTATTTTATTTTATTTCGATCATCGATCGAGACGATCTGAGAATGATCCGGATCACTGATCTTGCTGATCAGAATGAGGTTCATGGGTGGAGTATCCACCTCATCAATCCGTGTTTGAAAACATTGGTTAGTACTATATCCACCTTTTGCAGTAAGAATAGCATTGCACCATTATAGCCCTGTCTCTCCGGTTTCCCATTGTTAGCGGTTGTTTGAATCGCATGGTAATGTCTGTTTTTATTGGAAACGGTGTCCCAATGACATAACAATTTGACGGAGGGCAAGGAGGTGTTGAAAGGCTTGAGGAAGCGAATTGAGTTTTAGGCATACTTCAATTTGTAGGTAAGAAAGGCAAGGGAAGGATCCCTTCCAACTATCTCCTCCCCGTAATCAAACCTTTGGATAACGAGTACTGTGAGTGAGGGAAACGATCCTCTATGACAAGCTCCAATTCTTTGACCTATGTATGCACCAGCAAGCAAGCAGGTAGAGGTAGGATAGGTTAGGAAGGGATTGGAGAGCAACAATGGGGTCATCACTTAACCTACTATTCAGCAACGTTAACTTGGTGAGGCGACTGTGGGATAAAACATCACCAGGAATACTTTGCAGCCGCATTTCTGATCGAGCGACAATAGAGATGGAGGAAGCTGCAAAATTCGTGGTGCTTCATAACCACTCATAGGAACCAAAATGGACAAAGTTGTGAGTTGGGACATCTTGTTTATTGAGGCATTAAATAATTCTTAGTACTTGGGTTCCATCTCCCATTTGATTTTTAACTTGCGGAGTCTGCTGAGGTGAACGACTTCTTTAACCAGAAGCACATCCTTTAGTTTATAAGACCGAGAGTGCGTAAATTTTGCAGGCTTTTGATTGCTTTGGGTTGCACACTATTCTCTCCATAGCCACAAATTACATTTGCGTACTGCAGTTCTTGCAACTTGGGTAACTTTTCAGGAAGCTTTATTTCTACTGCTACTACAGATACGAATCTCTTATGTATGCCAATGTACCTCAAATGCACTGATACATCTCTCAATTCAATCTGTTGCCGACTAACACTCCGGAAAACATCCACATGCAATACTCTCAAATTCCTCAAGTGATAAGTTAGTGGTTTCAGATACGAGAGCGTTTCTTCTTCACTGTATGAAAATCACAAGACAGAACGAACCCTTAGATAATCTCTGTTCTGAAGAATTTTCCAAGGATTACCGACAATAAAAAAAAGACGAGCTCCTTGGGAGGGGTCGAAGTCACCCACCCCACCATAGAATTCACCCGATAGCTCTTCCTTAGCAATGGGGATTGCAAACTCCTGTACGACATCATGAACTCTGCAGGAAGAGATATGTCTAACTCTAAATTGGTCACCAACTAGCAGCATGCTTTGTCAATCAGCTCTTTTAAAGTACTCTGCAGTGACATCCTCTATGACTTTCCCATCCTTGTTTTCAACGAACCCTTGGGCAACCCATAGTCTTAAAAGTTTGTTCTTTTTAATTAAATGATCCTCTGGAAATAAACAACAATACAAGAGACATGACATGAGATGTAGAGGAAGATCATTGTAACTAAGTGAAACGACACGAGAGACTTTACCACCACCTTCACGGACTTCCCATCCTGAATCCTTTTCCATTCAGTAGGTGTTAATGGCTTCTTTGACATGATGCCTCCCATGACGACGATAGCCAGGGGGAGGCCATCGCATCTTGATGCAAGGTTTTTTACCAAATCTTCAAGCTCATTGGGACACCTTCCTCCTGTCGTATTTCGAAATGCCTTCTTATAGAAAAGATCAAAAGCTTCAATTTCCTTCAGTGGCTCAACAAAGTGGATGTGTTACTCCATGTCTACCATGGTGGCAACACGGTTATCACGTGTTGAGATTATTATCCTACTTTGTTGGCAAAGCTGAATTGATGAGATTCCATACTCCGCTATGCCAAACATCATTGAAAACTACCAGAAAACTTCTCTCCTTTACATGATCGTTGATGTCGTTCAGTAGTTGGGATTGAACTTCTCTCTTAGTTCATTTGAGCTCCCTTCCCCACTTCTTTTCCCACAAAATTATTTGAAAATACATTCTAGTATGTCGCAATCCTAAAAGATTGCGACACACAGTGATCCATGCACAACAGGAAAACTGCTCTTCATGGAATTATAAATTCCTTTTTCGAGAGTGGTTTTCCCAACTCCACCCATACCTACCAATGAAAGCACTCGACGCTTTGGGTTTTGATTAAATAACCAAGAAGTTAATTCACTTACGGCTGTCGATCGCCGTGATGTCATCTTCCTCCATAGAAGAAAAAGTGAGACGTGGATCTTGCCAATGTTCTATTGAATCATTTGAGGACGTCCCTTCCTCTTGTTTGGCTTCCAATTGGTACCTTGACCTCCCATCAGAAATTTCTTGAACCCTCCTCCTAATGCTCTGTATCTCAGTTGCAAACTTATGACGGACTTTCAATTTCTCAGCAAAATTCAAGCAACGATTTTGTCCGCCATGTTGCTGTAAATTCTTCATCTGAATGATGAACTCATCAAGGATATCATCCGCATCGTAGGAAACCTCTCTGACACGTCTCACCCAATCTTTGAGTTCCTCATCTGTCACTTTTCTTTTATCAGCACTTTGCAGGAACCCTTTCATTCTCTGGAGCACATCTCCAATCCAAACAGAATCTTTAGGCACTCCGAAGAGCAACTGACTTTCGTTTATGATAAAATTATTCAATCTCTCTAAGAGAAATGTGGCAACAGCCTCTGCCATTGCTTTGCTCCTCAGAAACCAGACTCTCAAGTGCTAGTGGCTAGCTTTTGCGTGTTTGCAATGAGAGGAATTTATACTGTGAGAGATCTATATGGTTGTATTGGCCCATTTTTTTTTTTTGTTTGGGAAGCAAAGAATGTGAAGGTGGCTATGCACACTACATTCTACAAAAGTCTTATGAAAGGGAAAATGGACATTCATTTAGACTGTTGCATTCCTAGTGCATGGAATTATTAACAATTGTAATTATGGAAAAAGTTTATATGAGGATACAACCTTATAATGTAGAATTAACAGTCCATTTTCATATGTTTATAAATTTACGTGATTTTAACGATATTTGAAATTTAAAATTTCATAATTAGATATAAAAATAGATTTTGAGATAATCTTAAGAACATTTTACATCAAAATCATATACCATGATAAAATTTGACGGTGGGATGCATCCGTATGCCAACTGCACCCATTGCATTATTGAGATAAAGAAAGAGACCAGTCCCTTACACGCCAATGCGTTAGTGGATGGCGTCAGTGTACAACAGTGGAAACATTGCATTAATGGATGCGAATATAAGGCCAAATTCAAATGCATTATACAAGGTAGGGTCCAAGAAATAAAGATCCTTTTGGATCTTTATTTTTGTGTAAGCGGATCAAATTCGAAGGACATATTGTGGAAAATTTTGGGCCAAGCAAGGAGAGATGAAGCCTTTTCCTGATTTGTGGGCTCTCCTTTGCGATTCCTTGAATTTGGGCCGCTTATTTAAAAAATTAAAATCCAAAAATGTCTTTATTTATTGGGCCCTACCTCGTATAAGGGTGTCGTTTGCATACTACTCCAGCCCAAAACAATCAAAGTAAGGCACACTTACAAATAGTGGCGAAATATGTTGTTTCAGAATTAGAAATCTTCGTGAATCTTTTCATATCTAATTATAAATTTAAAGATTTAAATATACTATAACGAGCATATCTATGAACACTTCAAAATATTAAAAAATTGATAGTATAGATAATACATTGCAAGATATACTTTTTTTTAAGACCTGAAATATATTTGTTCTCATGTCCATATAGATTAAGATCGAGATAATCAAAATGAGGGTTTTGCAGCATCGAAACAATTTCTTCTTGTAAATTTTTGCGGTGTGCTTTAGTTTGATTGTTTAGAGCCGCACCCTTATATAAACTTTTTCTTTATTTAAATTAGCAAAAATGAGTGATGAGCTAAATTGAGGACCACTAAATTTGAAACAGCTTTCAATAAAGTAATAGTTTGCCAATGATTTCAATAAAGTGATGGACAGCTACAAGTAAAGAGTAAATTCTCAGCAACTTCGTGAAGGCCACGCCATGTTTTTATACAGGGATAACAAGCCAATTGTGAGAGGAGAGAGGGTAGTGTGAAGTTTGATGCTCCTATTTTTCAGAGAGAGGGGTAGAGAGAGAGAGAGAGAAGGAAAGAAATGGGTAGGGCGCAATCTGATGCTGCTAGTTCTTAGACAGAGAAAAGCTGAGTTTTTCAACGAGTGTGAGAGATTTCATTGCGGTAAGGTGAAAT